AAAGAGTGCGAAGCGATCTAAGGCTGCCTGTTCCTCACTTCAGGGAGGGAAGCAGCAGGTGGCAGAGTCTCCTGCAAGAGGGCTCATCCCTGACAGACTGGGGAGCAGAGGACAAGGGAAGGCCTCAGAACTGCACCTGCCTTTTCAATGACCTGAAAAATAATCAAATGAGAAGGCAAATGGCCTTTTTCTTCCAAGTGTACAGGAGAGATGGGAGGCAATTTCGTCTACACCAGAATGCCTTTAGGCTACAAATCAAACACTACAAATTATGGCAGAACTACAGCATCACCAGCAAAGATGAGTTGTTTTTGAGGTAACCTGCCAGTGCCAGTGGAAGCACTGTTTTCAGTAAAAGCATCAGCAGTTCTGAAATTATGTTCCTCAATCTGCCTCACAGACCACATGTTCAAGAATTAGAAGGCTGCATTCAGATTTTTCTTCAGTTTTAACTAACTCTGAAGGGAGCAGAAGAGTTTTCACAGGGGCCTGTGATATTACACCAAAGCCAACAATCATGCAGATAAAATGGTAATGATGATCCTTTGTGACTTGAAACAAATTTGAATCCTGCCAAAAACTTTTAATGTAATTATTGTTGCACTGATCACAGTGGAGGCAAATACGCCAGAACATCTAGAAGAGCCACATACCAGAAAATGCTTTTCAAATTCTCAGCCCAACCAGAGCAGTTTGAGCATTTTAGCAAGGAACCGTAAAAAGATTATTTTTCATTCCTGTCAGGTCTCCAAGACTACAGCAACTCCTAAACACCCCCACAACAGGACTTTTGTTCTGCACAAGGCATTAGAGGAGATGCCTCAAGGAATTATGAGCAGACCACTCATTTGGCTATCTTGATATTTATGGTTGAATTCCTCTCAGTTTTAGCTTGTCACAGAGAAACTAGTGGTATTCACAATAAGGACAAAGGAAAAGCAAGGAATTTGACTGAAACAGCAGGACTGTCATCGGAACCACAAAACCTACCCTGCTTCATAGGAAGCATCAATGGGACACCAGTGATTTCTCCATGGTGTCAAAGAACTAAGACATCACCACGAGCAGCCTGAGGAAGCTCCGGGTACACAACATACTGACACCCGACCTAGTGCAAAGACTTCAAACCTTATTAAATAAATACCCACAGCCACTTGGCTTTGGATTCTGGAGTAAAGCTCTTTATCCCAGCGATGCAAGGCATATGGAATACATTACCATCAGAAGTTATAAAATACCAGCTCATTATGGGACATAAAAGTACTTGGGGAGGAAAAAAAAACCAAACTCTCTGCAGCTATATGGCTGATTAAGTTGCAAGCACTTATTATTCCCCCCTGTCTGAAAAGTACAGCCAATAAAGTCTGCCTCTAAAGAACGATTTAAGGCATTACCGAAGTAAGAAAGAGCAGGGGAAAGTGTTGACGTAAGAAACGCGTTCACTTCTGTGCAGCAGGTCTTATTTTTATTACTAATATTGGTCTGATGGAATAAAAACTAAAAATTCCTCATGACCTGCATGGTGCAGGCAGC